TTATTTTGTACAGGGATGAATAGTGAATGTGCAAGATCAACATCTAGGAAACAATCAGAGCTTGACACTCGTAGTGTTCTTCGTTCCACTGCAAGGAAAAGGAGAAATGGTAAGGGAGGAGTAGAGGTGACCAAAGCGGAAGCTATTGTAACTAGGCTGATCCGCTTACCCATGGTCTATTCAGGACAGGTTCTCACTGTATGATGAGGATGCCCACAATAGATACATGGGTTCTCCGTTCTTCTTCGTAGTTCAGCCGGGGGTAACTTCCCTTGTACGGGGCCAACTTGCACAGGTTCTTCTGTTGAGGATACAGGGACCATGGGTCATGGAGTAGGTGAATAACCAGAGCTGGAGCATAAGACGCTGAAGCTGGAGCAAAAGACGTTGCTTATTCTTGTCTCTGTTCTCTGAGACATCGGTCTAGCTGGACAGCCTGTTACATAAAGACTTTCAAAGTATCTGGTACACCAAAATGAGCAAAGTAATATTTTAATGATTCAGACAATCATAGTCGAAATTGATTGATCAATCTGATCTCATTCCAGCATGTGTCTGTGGCATATCGCTTGAATTCTGTTATGTAGCCTTTGACAGGTCTGCGGCCTTGACATAGTGATCTAAAGGCAGGTTGAGCAGTATCTTGTCTATTAGGATCATCATACATAGCAGACATGGCGGTAACAAAAGCATTCCAGGTTTGAACACTGGGATTCAAAACTTCAAATATTGTATGTGCACTCCAAATACATAAATAAAAGGGGATTACATAAAGCATACAATTTCAAAGTGTGATAATGACAAGAAACAGTTACCAAACACTATATTCACCAGAAGAACTACAACTTATTGAATTTGTTCTGGTGAGTAGAATCATTACCTTCAGCCTTTTTGCTGTAAATATCGTCTTTTCAGAGAAAATGCAGTGTTTACATTACAGCCTAGTGATAACTTCACTGGCCACTCCTCAGATGGCTTCCTATCTCAGTCTTACCTAGTGTGCATCACAACATCAGGTATCTCCATCCTCTGCATGCAGACAATGAAATTTTCTCATAGAGATTAATTGATTATATTAATCTCTATTAGGAGATGCTGATTGGCCAGCGCTGTGTTTGACTTGTGTTGGCTTTGCCTCTGATCTGCCTCCTTGTCAGTCTCAGCCAATCCTATGGGGAAGCACTGTGATCAGCTCAGAACAATACTTCTGATGATGTCAGAGGTCAGAGGAAATTCACAGGCACAGGCAGCAGCTTCAGGCTTAAATACATGTAAGGTTTTACTATATTTATGGAGGCAAAGGGGGTCAGAGGGGCTAGATGGTGGTTTTAACACAATAGGGTCAGGAATACATGTTTGTTTTCCTGACCCTATAGTGTTCCTATAAAAACTACAGCTTGGCAGTGATAAAAATATATGCTATATCTAACCAAGACATATACTAAATACAAACCGAATAAATGAATAAATAAATGAATAGCAAAAAAAAAAAACCCTCACTGTGGACATGTAAAGAAAACCCAAAATAACCTAAAATTGGTACCGTTCCTCATTCAGGCCATTAGAGGCTATGGAATTAAACTTAAAGATCCACTTTGATTCAGCCCTTGTCAGATCTCTTTTCCTTTTTGCCAGATCTCCTTTGGTCGGTATTATTTTTATTCCCATCACTGAGATAAAAGAGGGATCACTATTATGGGATATTTCAAAATGTCGTACTATAGGAGATCGCCTATCTCTATGTAAGACAGCAAGCCTATGTTCTCTAAATCTACATTTGAGGGGTCTAATTGTCTGCCCCACATACTGTAACCCACATGAACAAGCTAATAAATACACAACAAACGTGGAATTACAGTTGATCCTGTGGGTGACAGTAAAAATGTCCCAATTGTTATTAGGTCTGAATTTGAAGGACTTATGGCATAAAAAACCCACAGGTTATACCTATGACCACAATGGAAATTTCCAACAATGCATTTCTCCCTCATAGAAGAAACAGGTGGAGGCATGAGCTTCAAAGGTGCTAACATATTCTTGAGGTTAGAGGCTCTTTTTCAACACTGGGATCATTTATGAGTAAGAAGTCATAGGCCCATTCTTGAGGTGGACCTGAGATAAGGATGATAATCGTGCGCACTTTGACAGCATCACAGTAATAAGTCCTTGGTTTTAAATCAAATAACAGTTCACAAGCCATGATGAAGAAACGGTATTTAGACCTGTCACCTGAGAAGCGTTCTCGCAAAGATACTGTCACATCCTGTTCCTAGCTGCGGATCATTCATGGCTTCTGGTGTCCAGTACTCTTTTTACAATTCTTGTTTAGTTTTTCTTGGTTTTTCTGGTTTTCTATTCTATGTCTGGTTTTCCTTATGCTGGATTTCTGGGTTCATTCCTTTTATTCCGTCCCTGGAATTCCCAGTCTCCTGGACTCATTTAAATGTTTGTTTTATGTTGCCACACCCGTTTGTTTTCCATCATTCCTTTTGTTTCAGTGTCCTGCAGGCAGCTGCTCAAGTCGTCTGCCCTTTCTTTCAGGTAAGTGCTATATGTGTTTTCTTTGGTTGGTTTCGCATGCATTAGGCAGAGTAGGACCTGCCAGATATGGGGTACATTTCGTTGTTGGCAGGCTTGTGCAATGTATGATCATATACTGTAACTAAATCCCCATTATTTCCATATATAGTGCTTAGTTATTTCTCCTCTTGTTTTGTCTTTCATATCTTGTCTTGTTTTAGTTTGTATTCCCAGTCCATGTACAGTCCTGTCCTGCCCCTGTTTAGTTAATGTTCCCTTATGTATTGTTTACATGTTCTGGGTTTAGCTTCCTATCCTTCTCCGGTTCTGGGTTCTACTAATTCTGTCTTGTTTTCATGTTTGGTGCCTTTCCTAGTCTTTCCTTGAATCTGTACTGGATACCTGCCTGCTGCAGAGCCTCCCTATTTCAGCTCCTGGGAGGTCTGCTTAATTCCTGCTCCTAGTTCCTGGGATCCGCATAAGCTGAGTCAGGGTTTTGGTATGTGGCCGCACAAACGCTGGTGCTCAACACCAGGGGGCGTGTGGTTACCCTGCACCAGACCCTGTTAATCCACCTCCACACTGTGACTCCTACTTTGAACATCAGGCATACTGGGTCCGGTCCTCGCACCGCCGCCCGGACAGTCCCGGGCACCGGACCGCCACCCTGACAGATACTTGTGGTTCTGGTGCCACGGCAAGGTCTACTGGCCAAGGTATCAGGTGGGCTGCAGGCGGAGCTTGCGGAGATCCAGTTACAGGGTAAGTAGCCCGTATCAGTAATTCTTGTACGGCTTGCATTAACGTGGATACTTGTCTGGTCAGAACGTTTAGCATTTTGGCTAACTCTGTGGGCTCCATGTTATTCTGTTGGGTCTTTGACAGGTGGGGCCCAGGAGGCAGTAGTGAGCCAAAAGGGATGAGACAATCTCAGAGTCAGGGTAAGCCAAGGTCGGGAGCAGGCAGCGCAGGTTCAGGAATGGTATAACAGGCAGACAGGTCAAGGGTCAGATAAAGGTAGGATTCACAGAAGTGTATATACCAAAGAGCACAGTATAACTGAGCACTGAGATAAGGGTAGACTGAGATTATATAGGGGAGAGGTATCCACCTCTCACATACTATTGGCTTAAAAGTAATCAGTCCCTTTTAACAATTTCATGTGTGCTGTCCCTTTAAGAAGTTGGCTTTTGGGCCCGCGCACCTAGTATAAGTGGAATTCACACATGGGTTCAGCTGGGGCTTCCCGTGGGTCACGGCGTGGTGTGGAAAGCCACAACACTGTGTGTATGTGCTGCAGGGATGCCAGCTGACTGTGGCTGTAGCTGGGCATGCTGGAGTCATTGGCGTGCACCGAGAGGAAACCGCCACAGCTGCGGAATGTGACGCGACAAGGGACTTCCAGGTAAGTGCGGTCGTGACAAATGATGGACTTTAAATTGTTTGGAAATTGCCTAATACCCTTCCCAGTTTGATGGGCAGCAACAATTGCCTTTGTAAGATCATTGCCGATGTCTTTCCTCCTTTGCATTGTGTTAACACACCTGAATGCTACAGACCAGCAAACTGCTAAAACTTGGGCTTTTATACAGGTGGTCAAATTGCTGACGATCTTACACACGACTTCTCCATTCTGGCTTTATTTCAAATCATGACATGTTGCAATATGTCTTGTGTTGTTGTTGTTCAATTGAGTTTTAATTTACCTTATTTTAAGACCAGCTAAGCAACAGATGGTTATTATGTCCTGATTAGAATTGAGCGGACACCAGGATGTTCGGGTCCGGCGGGTTCGACCAAACTTTGAAAAAAAGTCCGGGTTCGTGATCGAGCTTGACCCCGAACCTCATTGAAGTCAATTGGGACCCGAACTTTTGCCCACAAAAATGCCTCTAAAAAACTCCTGGAAAGGGCTAGAGAGCTGCAAAAGGAAGTAAAATGGGGGTAAGAGTAGGACAAGTGCCCTGCAAACAAATGTGGATAGGGAAATCACTTAAAATAACATAAAAATAAAAAATACAGCTGAGCCATAAAATAGCACTAGATGGAATCTTTGATTTAAGCTTTGGAAGAACATAAATCAAAATCTAAAGCATGGCTGTCAGGAGGATCAACAGAATTATCCATTTGAGAGAGGGTTGGAGTGCAGGGTATTCTCTTTCATTGTTCAAACTGAGCTCAACTATTGATTCATAGAGAAAAGGCCTTCACAAGCCTCTGCTATTGTGTACATAGTTTAGCCAACACTGTTTTTTATGTATTTTTTTTGTTTGTTTTTTAATTGTGGTAGCCCACAAAATATTTTGACATACAAAAAAAGAAAAAATTGCGGTCTGCGGTGCATTTCTTGCAGTCCTGATGCATGGAGAAATGCTCAACTCCTGATGCATGGAGAAAAGGCCTTCACAAGCCTCTGCTATTGTGTACATAGTTTATACTAAGTGACCCATAGGTTGAGGAGGCGTGACCGTGGCGGTGTACGTTGAAGCAGCGGTGGAGGAGGAGGATGAGGTAGCCAACACTGTTTATATATATCTATTTTTTATTTTTATTGGAGTAGCCCCCAAAATATTGGGACATATAAAAAAAGACAACTCTGTTCCACAGAGTAGCTGTTGACATTATAGTTGCGCAAGCACTTTGTTGACTCTAGAGAACCTCGGGCCAATCGCACATCCCCGTGACGGCGACTTTGCATTCGGATGTCATCCATATCAACTTTCAATGCCAGTTTCTGCGCCTACCATGGTGATCACGAGTAACGGGGAATCAGGGTTCCATTCTGTACAGGGACCCTGAGAAACGGCTACCACATGCAAGGAAGGCAGCATGCGCGCAAATGACCCACTCCCGACGCGGGAAGGTAGTGACGACAAATAACAATACAGGACTCTTTAGAGGCCCTGTAATTGTAATGAGTCCACTTGAACTCCTTTAACTCTGATCAATTGGAGGGAAGTCTGGTGCAGAGCCACTGACCCATGCATGCTGCAGCTGAAACTCCACTATCGCCTGCTGCTCCTCGCACAGTCTCATGAGGTGGTGAGCGGGAAGGCAGAAGTTACGCTGCAGCACAGAGAGGCGAGCAGCAGCAGAGTGAGAACGCCAAAAGCGTGCACAGCCGCTACCATGAATGTTACATCCTGTTCCAAGTTGCGGATCAGTCTGGTGATGGCTTCTGGTATCCAGTACTCTTTTTACTGAAGCTGCATCAGGGTCCTGGTATGAGGCTGCACAAACGCTGGTGCTCAACACTAGGGGGCTTGCGGTTACCCTGCACTAGACCCTGCTAATCCATTCCACACTGTGACTCCTAACTTCAACATCAGGCATACTGGGTCCTGGTCTTCCGATCGCCGCCCAGACAGTGCCTGGGTCCTGGTCACCGGACTGCCCACCTGACTGTGAAATTATGAATGGATCGTTAAGTCTGGTACGAGCCCAAACTTTGCAGTTCGGGCTCGCTCAACTCTATTATGGATCCTTTGATCGCTACATGTATTACTTGGATAACTGGTAATTCTCAAGCTAATACATGCCGACGAGCGCTAGGGGACGGCTGCTCCGCTTTTGAACCCTGCTCTCTCCTATGCTGTACTGGTGCCTCTGTGCGACCAGCGCCTCTTCCTCCAAACTGCACACGTCACTCGCATGACCTTGATTCCATGTGGGATCTAGGACCTCATCATCCTCCACATCATCTTCCACCCACTCCTCAATCCTGCCCTCCTTGCCAGTATGCACACTGCAGAAAGCCACAGCAGTTGGCACCTGTGTTTTTCCAGCATGTAAAGTCTGCAAAGGACATATGGAAATTGTTTGAGAATTGTATCCAGGCAACAGTTTTCCCTATAAACTGACCTCTCAGTTTGACTTGTGAGGGTATTGCCCCAGAATTACAATATTGTTGAAGTCCCTCTTAGCTATTGATAACTGGTTTAAATATATCAGCTTGTTATCTGGTAGTTTCTAGTGTAGAAAATATCAATCTGTTTTCTATCACTTAGATCTGTGTAACAAGTGTTGTAGGTGTGAAACAATATTACAAGTGACCGATGTAGTAAATTCGAATCAAAGTTACGCTTCGATTTGACTCTCAGATATGAAGTGAACACCCCAAATATACTATTTAGCACCAAAAAAAATATTTATTTTTAAAAATTGACTTTTAAAAAGTCCAATGTAAGCAGCAGATTAGCAGCAAAACAATTAGAATGTTTACAACTGCGCAGTAAGCGCACTATTTGACACTTCTATTTGACTCTCAGATATGAAGAGCAGGCCCCAAAATGTACTATTTAGCAGATTAGCACTCAGAAAATTAGAATTTTTAAAACTGTGCTGTAAGCGCACTATTAGATGCTTTGATTTGACTCTCAGATATGAAGAGCAGGTCACAAAATTTAGTATTTAGCAGATTAGCAGCAAAACAATTAGAATGTTTACAACTTCGCAGTAAGCACACTATTTGACGCTTCTATTTGACTCTCAGATATGACGTGCACCCCACTAAAATACTATTTAGCAGTTTAGCACCCAAAAAATTTTAAGTTTTTGTGACAGCAGTATTTGATGATTCTATTTGATTCTCAGATATGAAGTGCACCCCACTAATGTACTATTTAGCACCAAAAAAAGTGACTTTTTAAAACTCCGATGTAACAGCGGTATTTGAAGCTTCTATTTGACTCTCAGATATGAAGTTCATCCCACTAATGTACTAGTTTGCAGAATTCTTTTTCTAAGCTGTCCCTCACAGCTGCAGCATCCTCTCCCTACACTAATAAGAGCTCATGTGAGTGCGGCACTACACGACTCCAACTTATATATAGAGGCTGGGTCACATGCTGCACTGGCCAATAGTGATGTCCCAAACCGTTCGCGAACGGTTCGCGAACGGTTCGCCACGGTTTGCCACGAACGGTTCGCCGCGGACTCCAGTCAGCCGACACATTCCAGCCAATCAGCAGCAGACCCTCCCTCCCAGACCCTTCCACCTCCTGGACAGCTCACTAAGAATGCAGCTTCAAAATGGATGCTGTCCAGGAGGTGGGAGGGTCTGGGAGGGAGGGTCTTCTGCTGATTGGCTGGAATGTGTCTGCTGACTGGAGTTCGGGGCGAACCGTTCGTGGCGAACCGTGGCGAACCGTGGCGAACCGTTCGCGACATCACTACTGGCCAATCACAGTCATGCCATTAGTAGGCATGGCTATGATGGCTTCTAAGGGCACACGAGTCAAACGCTTGTTGATTGGCTGCCTTTGAAAACGCGACATTAAATCACCGAACTCCAACCCGAACACACAGTGATATGTCCGTGTTCGGGTCCGGGGTCCAAAAACCATAATGTTCGGTACAAACCCGAACTTTACAGTTCGGGTTCACTCAACTCTAGTCCTGATATGTAAAACCATAGAATTCAAAGAGGGGGTACTTTCTTTTACCCATGACAGTGTATATAAAATGGACTCTAAATCTCCCCTCACCAATAGTCTTTGGCAAGTGAAAATGCTGCCCGGGCTAGTATAAATTCAGCCTTGGTAAGTGTGTCATGGGCTCTATAGGCTCTCTGTAATGATGAATAAGGTTTAAGTTCTAGCTAATAATGCAAGAATGTTTAAGCTCTTATATTATATTTAAGTATTTATAGGAAAAAAGTCTAAAGTATAAAAAAAACTTATGTGAACAGATTGAACAGATCGCTAGCTGCTATTAACTTGTCTGAGTTTAAGAAGGATTGTTCAATTATCAATGGCAGTTTTCCCTAATTTGCTTTGAATTATGAAATCTCTGAAATCTCAATAATTATTATTATTTACTTATTTAATTATATTAAATATTCTTGCTGTTATCTTATGGTCACAATATTCATATTTAAGCCCTGGTTCAGCTCCCACAGTTCCACCAAGAGCCCATTGCGGAAGAACTTCCGGTCCGGTGGAGCAGGGTGATCCTAGCACGGGGTGGAGCGAGATGACGTAGAGCGTGCTTCTGTGGCACGCCACTGAGAGCGCGATCGAGGGAGCCGACATCAAGAGCAGGGAAGCTGGGACCTAACTTACCCGGCGTTCCAGCGCTCCACTTGGGAAAGACTTCCTATGCCGCATAGAATACTTAGTCAGCTATTCCAGCCAACCGGAGATATCCCCAAATCTAAGTACCCACTGATTTATTAAATATTAACTGCATATACACTGTAGGGCCACAGGGCCAGTTAAGGATCAGTGGTCTACTAGCAGATAAGAGGAAATTGCATAAAAACAGAAAGTGGTATCAAAAGTCAATTAAACCCATTCTGTGCTCTGAATATAGTATACAATTCAGAGCCAACCTCTGTCAATGTTTTTTTTCAACTTTGTTTTTTTTTCTTTTCCTTCCTGCTTCCTTTCTTTTTTTTTTTTTTTGGCCAATCCTATATTATCCCTCTGTTCCTGATCCATCACCAGGTATGCCTCCCCTAGCCCTAATATTCATCCTGATTTAACAGGCTAACTCTACACACCACATGATAGAAATAGGGGAATATAAAACAGAAAATATATATATATACATATACATATATATACAAAACTTGAAAAGGCTGAGAAGAAGGCAAGGAGGAACAGGATCCAGGGAGGAGAAAGCATACGTTGGAGAGTGAAGAAAAGGAAGGGGAGAGAAAAGAAAACTCCTTAAAATTTAAAAAAGCAAATAGCCTAAAATGCATAAATCTCCAAAAAGAGAATAAATAGATTTGGAGAGGGGGAGAGGAGAGAGGAAAGAGAGAAGGGTAGAAAGAGAAAGATAATGGCTAGTGGCTACTTAAAAAATACAAAACGGCAAAAAGGAAAAAAAGCCAGAACACAAAACAGAAAAACGTCTTTCTTTCTTTTCACCAAACCCATCAGGCAACAAATTAAGCCTGGAGGAATCCAGTCTTTCAAATCAGAGGGAGTTACCAACAAAGGACAAACTGAGGAGGATCAGGAATCTAACAAGGAAGAAAATAATATGACCACCTACTAACACATCGAGATATACAATTTGGAAAATTAAAAGAATAAATCCAAATTAACACACAGGACATTAAGAAGGAATTACTATCCCTTAACCAACGATTCCAAGGAATTGAAGAAAAGATAGACGGGCAGGAGCACAGGGAAAAAATCCAGAAAGAAGAACATAAGGCGCTGGAAAAGAAGATGGCTGATATGGAAAATAAACTGATAGACCTAGAGGACCGGTCCAGACGGAACAACTTAAGAATTAGAATATCCGAACAAATAAATCTCAAAAATCTGGAACCATACATAGAAGAATTTATTAAACATCTGAAAATGGAATGGGACCCCAGAATTCCCATGTTGGAAAGATGTCCCAGAGTGAATAAACCTAAGGGAGTCCCAGAACACCATCCAAGAAGTGTATATATATGCCATACATTATGTTTGTCTCAGGCTGATACCCTTATTTGGGATCAACCCATCTTACTCTTACATAATTACAAATAAAGTTGTTTTGTTTTAAAAATTTTCACAAAACATTGGAAACTTTTGGAGAGAGAGAGCCACGAGAACAGATTAAAAAATATGATTTAAGTTGATTTCAATAAATGCCCGGGGGATTACCTCGCCATGTAAAAGGTCTATGGGTCTGACAAAAAATCGAGCACAAATTTTGTACCCTAAAAGAAACCAACTGGACAAGATCAAATAAAAATCCAATTAATTCATTAAGATATCCCATTATTATAAGCTTGGCTCTAGAAAACAAAACAAAAAAGAGGTGTAGCATTTATAAAATATCTCCCTAATTATTAAATATCAGGAATTAGACCCAGAAGGGCGTTATATCATTTTAATCTGCAAAATAAATAATACATTGTTTATATTA